CGAGGGCGTATGGAGGTCAAAGAGGGAACAAAGCTGGAAGACAACTCAACCCGTGAATACAAACTGCTGCTGACTTCATGGAGAAGGAGGTGGGGTATTACAGCAGGCTCACCAATAACAACACACATGCCAGATGAGATTGTTAGGAGAGCTGATCATGGTGATGAGTTCAAGAGGGATTTTGTAATCTTTGCCGTTTCCTCCATGCTTCGAGGAAACACAACACGCTACTCCAAGTACAGAATCTTGAAGTCATTGATTCATGTTGATATGATTAAAGAATACAATTGGTGCGGCTACACATACCAATCTCTCATTGACTCGATAGAGATTTACAAGGAAGATAGAAGCAGAAGCTTTTGGGGGCCAATGACATTGATATTGGTCAGTTCTTATTGTCTTTAATCTAAATGCATGAATTCTGGATATATAGTAATGTATTTTTGGATGTATAGTTTTGGATTTATGAATATATATGCATGAAGCTTAGAATATACTCAATTTATTAAGATCCTTTATGTAGTTCTGAATTTGTGGATATATAGTTTTAAAATTGTGGATATATAGTTATGTGATTATGGATATGTAGTACTCTGTGAATATATGAATGTATTACTTAGTGAACAGACTATTAAGATTTCTGGATATATAGTAATGTATTTTTGGATGTATAGTTATGGATTTATGGATATATATGCATGAAACTTGGAATATACTCAGTTTATTAAGATCCTTTATATAGTTCTGAATTTGTGGATATATAGTTTTAAAATTATGGATATATAGTTATGTGATTATGGATATGTAGTACTCTGTGAATATGAATGCATTACTCTGTCACCATGCAATTAAGAAATACATGGGTAATTTGTTCTAAATTGATCTTTAACATAATCTTCTTTAATTTGTAGCTGTTCTACTTTGATCGAGTAGAATTCAAAGGAATGAAGGTCAACAGGACATACCCTAGCATACTTGCTTGGACGAGCACTCTTGTAAGAAAGAGAGTCAAGGCTGAAAAAAAGGCTGGGGGGTTTGGAAAGGGAAAGGTTATCCCTAGGGTTAAGAAGCCAAGAACTGTTGCTACCACCTCACTGCAACAACCTGCAAGCACTGCTGCTGCTACAACCTCACTGCCACAACCTGCATTTACTGCTGCTGCTACCACCTCACAGGCTACTACTTCTTCTACTCCTGCTACTGCAACACCAACACCACCTACAAATGAGCCACTCTCAAGTGTTGACCGAGTGACCCGTGTGCTTCAAAAGCTAGCATCAAATGTTCTGGAGTTTGGTGAAGCTATGTCTGAAATTGGAAAGCAGGGCGCACCTATTGAAGTGATGAAGAAAGCATTCTCAGGGATATCAAACATGCTAGGTGCTGCAAGTGCAATTGAATCAACTTCCGTTCCAACTGAATCTCAGTTGGATGACATATTCTTTGGGAGTGAAACCTTCACAGCTGCAGTGGATTCGTTGGTGGAAGCATTTCAGAAAACAACAAGAACCATGGAATTTGAAGCTCCATCATTTGATTTGGGAATACACTGCAATGAATCCCAACCACAGCCACATGAGCAAGAAACAGAGCAAGTAGTTGAAGAGGAACAACCATTGGATGCTTTGGTTCAACAAATTGGAGAAGATGCAGGACTGTCAACGCCCTTGGGAGCAGAAGTAACTCCTCCACTTGTTAGAGTCCCATTTCGAAGATATGTCCATCATGCCCCTGCTGCTGATGCTGATGTTGATGACTTTGATCGGTAAATTGACAGTTTGTTATTTACATTTGGCTTTAACATTATGAATTTATAGTTCTAAGATTATGAATATAAAATTATGAACATTTTTACAACTGTGAACATATAGCTTTGAAATTGTGGATATATAGATATAAAATTATGAACATTTAGGTTTAATATTATGGATATGAAGTTCTAACACTGTGGATATATAAACAACAGTGCCATGCAAGAAAGTGAGTCTGATGTTGATGACGTGACTGTTAGGAAGAGACCCCAGCGACGATTCAGGAACAAACCTCTTTGTCTGAGGTCACCATACTGGACACAGAATGCAAGTTTTATACGCAACGCAACTCCCCGGGAAAAAATCATCTCAAACTATGCATTCTTGAGTGCGTCTAACGAACACCCAGAAGAGTATGTTTGAACACGTATATTTATAACAAACTTTTAATTACTTAGATAGTTCATATTATTATTATTATTATTATTATTATTATTATTATTATTATTATTATTATTATTATTATTATTATTCTGGTGTTGTAGTGAGTTGCTGTTCAGCTATGGTGACTACTACCTAACAAGGCGTCACTTCTCAACTTTGAGCAACGGCGAGCTGGATATAGACTTCTTGAATGTTTGGTCTTTGCGGCTAACTTTGAAGAACACAGAACGTGCTGTTGGGATACCAAAACGAGTATTCTTCACCACATTGCCACATGTAAGAGTTATTTTTGACATGCACATGCACATTTTTAAAAATCTAGCTGTGGATATATAGTACACTAAGCCTTTTGAATCCTCATTTTTGCATTCTGTGTATTCAAAAACAGCTGCAGCTTGATCCATCTGATGATTGGATGAAAAGTCTCCCAGCCGAGAAAAAGATGGAAAATTTCAATGATAGATTGAATTATGAAATATCAAGTTTCGGAAACCTGGAAATCAATGATGCAGACCTTGTAAGATCTATTACACACACTCAAATTAATAATTTAAAAATTTATTATGGATATATATGCATGGAGCTTGGAATATACTCAGTTTTTTAATATACTTTATGTAGTTCTGAATTTGTGGATATATAGCATTAGAATTATGGATATATAGTTATGTGATTATGGATATGTAGTACTCTGTGAATATATGAATGTATTACTCTGTGAACATACTGTTAAGAATTCTGGATATATAGTAATGTATTTTTTGGATGTATAGTTATGAATTTATGGATATATATGCATGAGGCTTGGAATATACTCAGTTTATTAAGATCCTTTATGTAGTACTGAATTTGTGGATATATAGTTTTAAAATTGTGGATATATAGTTATATGATTGTGGATATATAGTACTCTGTGAAATATGAATGTATGTATACCCATGCAGTTAATAATACATGGGTATGTAGTTGTTCAAATTTGATCTTTAACATAATCTTCTGTAATTTCAATTTATCATGTCCATAAATATTAACATCGCTATACCTTTTGTTTTGGAATTAGATATTTTTCCCAGTGCATCGCCATGCACACTACTTTGTTGTGTGCATAAATGTCAAGGAATCCAAGGTTCAGGTGATAGACAACAAGGAATTGCCTGCTGGTGTTTCAGAGCTTGATAAATATGGGGACTGTCCATATAAACTGGTAGCTTATATTATATTAAAAAACTCCTTATTGTCACCTATATATTGAATTTAAAACATTATGAACATTGAGCTAATTTTTTACCAGATTGAAGCATTCAAGGCATACCTAGCAGCAGGACAATCCACCTTGACTCACAAACTGAACAGCATGCCAGTAGAGTTCCTTGCCATGAACTGGAAAAATGCTGACAATGTTACCGACTGTGGCATATATGTAATGCGGCATATGGAGACTTACATGGGTGGAGCTCTCGAGGACTGGGATCCTGGGTTCAAGAAACATATGCGCACAAATGTAAGAGTAACATAAATAAATTACATTCATACTACATTGAAAAAGGATAACAAAATTACAATAAACTAATTATTTATTTTTCTTAATTTACAGGCTAGCTTCATTTGTGAGTTGAGGGCAAAGTATGCTGCTTGTATCATCACATCAAAACCGAACACCATCATAAGCGAGGTCATGAAAGCTGCAAAGATTGAAGACAAGAAAAAGTAAAACTGCAAAGATCATTGAACGTTTTTTGTTATGATCAAAGATTGTTTTGTAACAACTTTATTGCAATTGTTGCAATTTCTGATCTTATGAAGTTCACAGATTGTTTTGTAACAACTTTATTACATTTTTTGCAAATTCTGATCTATGAAATTCACTGAATATATAGTTCTCATATTATGGATATATAGCTTTAAGATTGTGTATATATTGGTATACAATTATGAACATTTTACTTAAGTGCAAAGATTGACCACAAATATTCATGAATTTATATTTCAAAGATTATGGACATATAGGTTTAAGATTGTGGATATATTGATATAAAGTTATGAATATTTGTTCAACTGTCAACATAACATTTTACATAAGTGTAAATATCAAGTTCAACTATTTATTAATTTATATTTATAATATTGTGGATATATAACTTTAATATTGTGGATATATTGATATAACATTATGAACACTTTTACTATTTTGACATACAAGTCCAATAATTTGTGGTCATATAGTTCTCGGAAATATGGATGTATAGCTCTAATATTATGGATATATAGCTTTAGTATTATGGATATATAGCTTTAATATTATGGATATATAGCTTTAAACCTGCAAAACAACAAGTTCTAAAATTTTGAATACACAGATCAAAAAACTTGTAAATTGATATCCTCAAAACAGCTAACAACTTGTATTAAACCCAATCTCAGTCTAAAACTGCATTATCATCTAAATCATTACTAAAATTGACAAAACTCCGAACTCCCAGAACTTGGATGTACAAGGTACCCATCCCCGGCAATCTCAGATAGACTTCCCAAAACCAACGACTGAACAGCACCCTTTGTACTCGAAGCAACTTTATTTGCAGCACTCCTCCTCCCCTTGCAACACTGTACTTCTTTTCAATAACACTACTCCTCCTTACATTACGCTCACCTTTTGATCTCCGGTTTGAAGGATTTTGAATGACACCACTTGAAGATGAAACACCACACTCTTCAATATGCACATAGCCAATCTCAGCTTCAACCTTTTTCTTTGCATCCTCAACTGCTTCATCGCAGAACTGTCTAGTTACACTATTATCTTGACTAGATGCCAATCAATCTTTGAAATTTTCTACAAATCTCCACAACCCAAATTGAAGGAGGGACACCAGCTCTATAAAACATTGGACCAGTATTCACATCCCTACCATCAGCAACCTTTTTAGTCCACCTTTTCATGATATATTTATTAGGGATACTAGAAACACAATGTATATGAAGAATACGTAAACAATGGCAGCATAAAATTCCCAACTCGGAAATCAACTTGCAACTACACGAAATGTCCAAGGTTGCCAACTTAAAACTAACTTCATGCCTTATAATATCTATATCTGGACGCCATACATGATACTTGAACTGACAACCATCATTCAACACCATTTCTTGATGACAAGCATTGCCTTTCATAAACTGTTCCTCAAACAAAAAATATATCTCAATCGTATATACCTCTCTAGCGTGTAAAAGAAGTTTCACGTGCTCCATCATCATAGTGGGTGCCCCTTGAGCACAACGAAAATCTTCACCATTCTCTTTGCTTCTCCATTCAGAAATTACACTAACAAATGATGAATAAAAATCACAAAGACCCGCAGTCTTAGACAGCCTTCTTGAAATCGAATGATTAGTAGTTTCACTCCTTTGCGATGATAAAATGCCCCCTGAAAAATAATCCTTGTTGAATGCTGGACACCACTTCTCCCTACAATCATACAACTTTTGTATCCAACTATTCTTGTGACACTTATAGTCAATCACCAACCTGAAAATGATAAGACATATGTTCAGAACCAATAAGAAAGTCCATGCTTTACTACTACATGTTCACATAATTCTAATACTATATATCCATAATTCTACTACTATATATCCATAATTCTATTACTATATATCCACAATTCCAAATACTATAAATCCATAAATTGAATGCATGTAATTCAGAAACAATCAGAAAAGTGTCATGCTTTACTACTACATGTTCACATAATTCTAATACTATATATCCATAGTTCTAATACTATATATCCATAATTCATTTACTGGAATGAAAAAAAAAATAGTGGACATACCTTGTCCAATAAAATTCAAACTCAGCTTCAGTCTCTGTGTATTTCAACACACAGTTAAACATATCCAAGAAATCCTTATTATTCCTTAACGCCTTGATATGCTTCTTCGAATTCTCACCAATATGCCATATGCAAAGACGATGACGTGATGTTGGAAACACTTGACAAATAGCAGCAGCCCATGGATGCACATTGATCTGTCATGATAGACTGTGGACACTTCCCATTCATAGATCTTAAAAATGCTCTAAACAACCACACAAATGATTCTATCCTCTCATTCATCAAAAAACCACATCCAAACATTACATTCATGCAGTGATGGTTCATCCCTACAAAAGGGCCACAAATCATATCATATTTATTGGTGCGATATGTTGTATCATGCACTAACAAATCCCCAAACAACTCATAGTCTTGTCTCATCCGACCATCCCTCCAAAAAAAACTGCACAGTCTTGAATCGCAATCAACTTCAAAATCGAAGAAAAAATCAGACTCAGTCGATTGCCTCTTCCTAAATATTTCAATTAATGAGTTCGAATCTGTTCCATCCAAACGCTTTGATGTATCGGAAGCAATCGAATTATAAGCATCTCGATTAGTGAAACCAATTAATGGAGACCCCCCTGCTTGATGTTTCAAAAACCTAATACCATCTGCCATTGCAACACCACTCTTCTTCAAATCTTTTAAATATAACAGCTGATTATCACCCACATTTCTATGTGAACGGAGAAGATGACTCTTGTCTACAGCACATAACTCGTGGTTGTGCACTTTGACATGTTTTGTAACCGTCCACAACCCATCCTCACCCACGTCAAACTGAACACATGCACCACACCCTGTCCTTATGTCAATTTTTGAATATGCCCTAACACCAGCATTTGCCTTAACCTTAAAACCAGCTTTAGAACACATAAACATCTTCATTTGGACTGTTTTACTATATACCTTGCACCGTTGATTACCTTCTCACACTAAAACCAAGTCTATATGCATAATTGTTATACAACTCATAAGCTTCAACCCCGTTACTTACAACAACACCAACCAAATCTTCATCAACTGCAAATGCAATATATAACCTCAAGTATAACAAATAATACACATTCCATTGAAAATATAATTCCGAATAAATCAAGCCATGCTCTACAAAGAGGAATAACATTTTCCATGGAAAAAGAATGAAAATATAACAACGCTGAACACTGTGAATTATGAGCAAATAAAACTACATATAGACCTGGAATTGAAGAAGAACCATCAATGTCTAACTCTATTGGATCTGAACTTGATGAATCAACAACAACATCTTCACTGACTGCATAATGTTACAAGCCAGAACAGAGTATCAGTTTAGAAATTAGTTAATATATAGTATTAGAATTCTGGATATATAGTATTAGAATTATGGATATATAGCTCACAATTTCTGGACATAAAGTTCAATAACTATGGATATACAATCCAAAACAGAGTATCCGTTCACAAAATCCTTGATATATACTATTATAATTCTGGATATATAGCTCACAACTTCTGGTTATATAGTTCAAACATTATGGATATATATTTCGTTCATTCAGAAAACCATAAACACATAAACACCCAGAATTACGAATGATCTCAGACTATAATGACCAACATCACATACGTTGTATACAATCACACTAAATATAAACACCTAAACAATATATCACACTGCAACAATCAAAATAATCGCAAACGATCACAAATCCATAAAAAAACAATGCAAAATAACCTGGAACCGTATGCAATTCATCACTGCTTCATCTCTCTGATCTACTGCCTCATCCATCATATGATCCATACAAGAAATCGGAAACGACTGCGATTGCGATTTTGCGTATACTAAAATCAAAACGCCAAACTACCAAAATTCGCAAAACTATCAAATACGAGATGAATAACGCCGCTAACGGCCATCCAATTTTTTTTTTTTTAATTTTAAGCGAGCCGTGTCTTTTTTTAAAA